GGTAGCAGTGGCATCGAAGACCTCCAGGACTAACAATTTCTGGCTCAGTATCAAGTCGCCAATATTATCCCTACCTTATATATCAACGCCAGAACTGGTTCTAGCACCACTGTTGTTAGTTTCAATAACATAAATCAGAATTTCTTGCCTTTCATTATTTTTTCCATTATTTATATTTACATTTATTTTATGCTTTATTAGCAACACCTTCCTCCTACAAAACCCCCATTATTACAACTTTAAGGAGAGTTAATGGACAAGTTTACATCCGAGTGGTCTATTACTCGGAAGGAATGGACTGTTACGTTTTATAGATGAGGGGAAGGAGGAGTTTTCACTTTTTCCGGTATGATCAGATCCTGAAACACTTCATCTTTTATTAGCTTCATGGTCCATTTCTGAAGCTGAAACTCAGACATGGCCGAATTTCTTTGCAGGAAAAATTAATGACATTTGATTCTTTTTTTCATACCTCATACAGAAGTTTATCTGAAAACTGGTCTAATTCTACTTACCGTCAATGCCAAGGGCTATACCCAAACTGTTATGCTGACTGAGTGGCAAAGTTGAGACAAAAGAACTTATTAATTATATGGCCTGGTTGATTGATTTTTATCTGYAGATCATAAAGTAGTACTTTCCCCATATCATCCAACATGGTATTAATAGAACTGGGAAAGAATTCAATGCTTGATCTCAGGCAGTTGGACAACACTCACACCTTCCAGGCCATTTATGCCATTTGGTCATAATGCAACATCAAAACCACATGTGGGTTTGCAAAAGAACCAGACACTTCTTTCCTGTGTAAAGAATTTTCCATCCTTCTCTCTTGATACAAATCTAACTGGAATTTCTCTTCGACCTTCCCTGATCCCATGCCTGCAAGAATGTTTTAAGCTATTTTCTCCTGCAAGAATGTTTTAAGCTTTTATTATTGACCTCTACCAGAGCGCTCCCCATGCTACATTAACTTACTAGACATCAGTTCAATTAAAAGATGAAAACAGAAAATGTCAGCATGTCCAGCGCTCAGTGCACCTCACTTTTGTTAACACTACTCCTTGTAGTGAGTACTCTACTCCTACTACTTGTGCACTGCTTCTAGGAACAACTAATGGCTCCRGGATGCCTGAGGTTGGACAGGACCTCTGAAGATCATCTAGTCCAACCATCCCKGCTCAAGCAGGGTCAACTACAGCAGCTTTACCAGGACTGCATCTAGTCCAGTCCTGGGCATCTCCAAGGACACAGACTCCACTACTTCTCTGGGCAACCTGGTTCCAGTGCCCTGTCACCCTCCCATTAAAATACATTTTCTTTATGTTCAGCTGGAACTCCCCAAGTAGCACTTTGTGCCCATGGACTCGCATCTTGACACTGGACACCACTGAGAGGAGTTTGGTCCCATCCCAAAAACACCCTATGCCCSCACAGCGACACGATCTGCGTTAAGATCTGAGCTATAACAAAATTTCTGCACAATCTGACAAAGAGAACTCATCACACTGCAGAAAACCACCCTTCACATCTCCCTCTCACTCCTCTCCAAACTGACCTCGAGTATAAAAGAAATTACACTTTTCAGCTTTGCAAATTCATATTTAGAAGGTTCATACTCATGACCAACGCTACAAAATGTTCCTTTTTCTGGGTTGCAAAGTAAGGTTGTATTTAGCCTCTCTGGACTGTGGTCTCTGCACATCCCACATTGGTCTGATACAATTTCTTATGATGAGCTTATCCAACTCCCCCTATAAGGAGAGCTGAGTGTGCGGCAGCAGCTGAACTCTGAGTGTCAACCAAATGGTGTGCAGGTAAATCTGTTACAATTACTTTTAATAGAATTACTGCCTCAAACACATGAAGAGATTTTCTGATAGACTGACCTGTATTCCACAACGCATTTTATGGTGGCTCTCCACACTGAATATTCTGACTATCCCATGCACCGTCTACTGGCTTGAGTATAAGCACATGTGAATGAGAAAGCAAGTGGCAACACAGGTCATGGATTTAAGTGATTCCTGTGCCAAAAATATAACACATGGCCACAAACAGTTCACTATTCAAGGAAACACRTGAGACTTTAGTACAGAAAGTCATAATTTCAGAGCTAAAAGCCAGGGTGAGTCAACAGCTCCTCTAAGTGAGCCCACCATGCACCCTTTTACAAAAGCTACTAACCAAAAGCTCTATGATCCTACCAGAACAAATAAACTGGGACAGAGACCCAAAATGCCTTTAAGAGAACCTGACAAAAAAGGAGCTCAGAAATTCATAGCACAAAGATTACTCTCTTAACAACCTCTTCTGGGAGGAAAAACCCTTTCCTGATCCCAAATGAACTCTACCTGCAAATACGAGGAAAATGCACTCTACTGACACTGAGGAACGGGATTCTCTGAACTAATATTGCCCAAATCAGCATCTAAACTCTTATTTTTTATAAAACGGTGAAGTACACTACCTTTATCTAACTGTTCTCTAAAAAATAATTTTAAAATCCTTCCTAACCCCTGAAAAGCATCCAAAAATCACAAGACTAGTTAATTATCTTCCTTTAAAACTAAGCCTCTTCTAAACAAGACAAAAATTCTGCTTTTTCTGCAGCCAGGCAAAGAGGAAGAACAAGCAGACTRAGAATCACAAGTTTCCAGAAGGGCATCCGAAGTTCACTGTTTTTTTTTTTTAACCAGACCATGCAGACACCCTCGTACCAGTAGCTACCTGAGAAGCCAGCTTTATATCTTTCCTGTAAAGTGTTATCTAGTTTCAGCTTAAAGCTTCCAAATAATGCAGTCTTTAACCTCTCCCATAAACTACTCACATAGTTRGCCTCCATCACTGCTAGGAAACTGTATCATGTTTAAAAGAAATTTTTGTAGCTTTGGCTTCCAGTTAATCGGATCTCATATCTTCATTGAAAAGACTGAAAATACTTCACTATCAGGTAACTTTTCTACAGGCAGGGATTTCCACAGAGCAACTGAGTTGCTTTCTTGACTGATGTGCCCGAATAAGCAGAGTTCATTAACTCTTTTCTCACATGCCTTGTTTTCCAGACCCAGAACATTTTTGTGACTTCTTTTGAGCCCTCCAGTATTTTGATATCTTGCTTGAAGAGCTGGTATAACTGGACACTGTCTTCCAGTAGCAGTCCTAGCACTGCACACACAAATACAATAAACTTCAATACCATTCTCTTAAAATCAGCTCTTTTCCAACAACAACACAACTAAATCCYACAAGTCACCATCTAATCACTTCCTACCATATAGAGGTGGCAGCACCCATTTCTGGACTTTACATCTTTCTTTATATCGTATTAAGAACCTTCCCACCCTTGGGACCATTTGCTGGAGGCTCAAACCACATTGCAGCAGTAACATCTCTGTCATTGACCATTGTACCAACCATTCTTAGCAAACAGAACCAGCAAAGATTATAGACTTTTCCTATAATGTAAGTTAGTCATGAAGACATATTAGTATCTGAACAAAGAATTGGTAACAGATCCAATTAGAAATAACTCACTCATTTACATCTTCCTCTTAAGGTTCAGGATTTGGTAGTAAGTTCATTCTTAACTTTTGCCTTAACGCCATGAAACAGCATCGTCATTTAACCAAAGTGCTGTATYACACCAAGTCAGATTGCCCTGAGAAATTCAAGTATGCAACAGCAATTATATTAAYGGGTGACTTGCATAACCAGATCTCATAATCCCCTACAGACAAAAACCAGCAGATTTGTTAAAATTAACATTAAAAACGTTTGTTAAACAAAAACAAAACAAACACCCACACAAGTTTTTCAAAGGTATGAAGCTTGACCTCAAGGACTACAGCCATTAGTTGTGTTCGCAGTATCTAATTACTCACCATATSCTGATTTATTCATTTTGGTTTTTTTACCTGCAACTGAAGTCAACGCAGGTGAACTGCACTTTTCTAAAGTACATTCCATCTTTCTACATTACAGGAGCAATATTTATAGTACTTCTAATCCTACTGCATTTTTCCTCTRTTTTTCTAGAATGCTTATAATCAGTGAAAGGGGACTCAGATAACATATTTAAATTTGACTATTTTTGAATTAAAAGACACTTATCCCTTTATTAAAGACAAACTCACTGTTCTGTCTCCATCACATGAGAAAATAGCAGTTCATCCGACTCAGATGCCTCGTACGGATTAACACAAGGTGGAAAACACAGCCACTTAATAGCACTGCCAGCTGCAGCTCTCACTTTACCCCGCAACGATTTGGGAACTACGCTACCTAGGAACTGCTGGGAATTCCTGTAGCTTCAACTTGGTCCATTTCAATTACCTTTAATTCTGTTAATACCTGAAAATACCAACATTTAATATTTGAGCTCTGTAAAGCCTGGAAAAGAAGCAATGGTTTGTAATTATGACTTCACCTTTTCCCTCAGTGCCCATTTCTCCCCCGCCTCAGCCCCTCCGGCTGCTCTCCCCGCCCGCACTGTGTTCCCTCGGCGCCGGCAGCTCGGGCGGGTTGTAGCTAAGACCCAGCGCGGGCTCGAGCTCGACTGGGACCTTCTCGCCCCTCAGCGTGAAGAACGAAGGCGCGAACGCGGCCGCCCCCACCTCGGGGCCACCCCCGCGGCGCCAGCTGAGCCCACCCGGCCGCCGTACCGCGCTACCGTAAATACGCATCCAGCGCAGCCCTCCGCCTAGCACCGTATTGACGCCCGCGCGCGCGCGCAGCCCCCAGAGCCAGCAGGGAGGCGGAGGGAGGCGTCATGGCTTTATTGTGCTGAGCAGCGCGTACACGCGAGCGGCCGCCCCGGGCCCGCCGCCCCTCCTCCGCTTGCGAGGCTCAACTCCTGTTTGCCCCGCCGGGCTCGGCCGCCCCGCGCCAGACCCTGCTGGCCGCTCSCTGGCTCCACGCAAGGCGGCGGCCCAGCTCCGCCCCAGCCCCTCGCAGAGCCGCGCAGCCGCCGTGGCGCGGCCGCCGCCTCCGCCACTCACCTTGCGCGCACCCGGAAGCGGCGGTTGGAGTGCCGCCGTGCGCAGCTGAAAGCCTTCCCCGCTGCACCCTTTTCTCCGCTCCGGGTGGCAAACCCTCTTCGCGGCTCGGAGCGGAACCTGAGGGCTAAGCCCCCGCGCGCCSAACCGGATGACTTTTCCGGAGGCACTGAGGCCCCGCGCCTGCAGGCGGCGAGGTCGCCCGTGGCAAGGAGCGCGGGGRGGCGGGGCCTGGAACGTGTGGGTGGGGGGTGTACCGTATTCACTGTAGAGCGGGGAGGCTGCCCCGTACCGTATTTACAGAGCTAACGTGGCTCAGAATATGTCCAGGAGGGTAGGAGAGAATAAAATAAAATCCTAAATATGAAAATATTTTAGAATGGAATAAAACATAAAAAGATAAAATGAAATAAAATATTTAAAAATAATTAAGAGGGACATGGAACTACTAGYGTAGAGCAACAATGATGAAGGAACTGGAGCATCTATCATATGAGGAAAGACTAATCAAGTTAGGCCTCTTTAGCCTAGAGAAGACTGAGAGGAGATCTGATCAATATGTATAATAAGTACCTGAGGAGAGAATGTAGGGAGGATGGGGCCAGAACCTTATCAGCTGTGGCCAGCAACAGGGCAAGGGGCAATGGGTACAAACTGAAACACAGGCAGTTCCATCGGCATGTGAGGAAGAACTTCTTTACAGCGAGAGTGACAGAGCCCTGGCACAGGCTGCCCAGGGGGTTGTGGAGTTTCCTTCTCTGCAGATCTTCCAAACTCACCTGGATGCCACCCTGTGCCCCGTGCTCTAGGTGTCCCTGCTGGAGCAGGGGCTTAGACTATGTGATCTCTAGAGGTCCCTTCCAATCTCAGCCATTCTATGATTCTGTGAAATAAAATGAATTTTTTTTTTAAATAAATGAATTGAAATATGAAAAAATGAAATGAAATGAAATGAAATGAAATGAAATGAAATGAAATGAAATGAAATGAAATGAAATGAAATAGGCTAGGGGACTGCCCCCGCAGGGCTGCCCTCAGCTTTTGGGGCTGCCTGTGAGGTCGCACTTTCTGCTTTGCCTCCCGCCAGGAGCACCGGGCCCATGGCAGCTGCCGGCCCCTCAGGGCACCTCCCCGCTCAGACAGGGTGCAGCCGCCCGCCCGGCCACAGCGCTTCCTGCTCAGGTGGCGCTTCCTGCTCCGTTGGGCARGCAGCCACGGCAGCCGCGGTTGGGAGAGGCTGCGGGGAGCATGGCGTACCGCGAGCTGCTGCGGTGCTGGCACGCCGGCGTGCAGGCGGCCGAGGCGGGTGACTGGCAGGCCGCGCTGAGCAGCTTCGGCAGCCTGGAGGACCCACCGTCGCGCATCTGCTTCAACGTGGGCTGCGTGCACCTGCAGTGGGGCCACCTGCCGCCTGCCCTGCAGGTGAGCGGCATGCACAGGGCCCTGCTGCCACCGCCCGTGGGGAAGCCGCTTCTGGATGGCGCCTGGAAACAGGGCTGGGAGTTGGTGCCGGGGCAGGGTTGGTGGTGCTGGCTGGGAGCAGGCACCGAAGGCGAAAAGCTGAAAGGGTCCAAGGGCTCTGTAGTTACACCACTTCCCTGGTGGGAAGGTTTTCTGTTTTGTTGTTGATGGTGGCTTTTTTGGGGGGTGGGTGGTAATGCCATAAAAAAAGACTTTTCTGCAAGCTCGGCCGATCCAGGCTGTCCTGCTTGCGGGCCCAGCTAACAGGTAAACTGTGGGTGCCAATGGAGYAGGCCCTGCGGGTGTGAAACGCGGAGCGCCACAGCCGTGGCTACCCGTCCTCCTGCGGGAGCTGCCCAAACTTCCCCAAAGCAGCAGCTCGTCTGGAGACATGGCTGCCCTCAGGGGAGCACCACCTGCTCCAGTGCCACCGGCAAGGTGGCCAGGCAGCCTGTCCTGGCAGTGCTGCTCCGGAGACTTGTTTTAGGCCCCAGCTGATGTCCATGGGCCAGGACAAATTTGTACTCTGCTTCTGCATACACCAGTGCCCCAGTTTTCTTCTCTTTTATAGTGTAATAAAGCAGACTGTTAAAGTGAGGCGTGCASGTTGGTCCCCATGAAAGGCAGCCATCAACTCTGGCTGCCTGTACTGGTTGCACACCCTGACTAGGCAATCTAAGGAAAGTCCAGGGGTTCAGGACTGGTTTGTCATCCGGACACTGTCTGATCGCAGTGACCGCCAAGCTATCCCCATCTTCCTCAGAAGAGGACATTAATTCCCCTGGCTCAGCATTACCTTGAGCCAGCTGCTGTGAACTGGTATGTGCTTTAATGATTCTTGCCTGAATTTAGCTTGCAACCTGGGCCAGGAATATCAGTCATATAGGTGCACTGTGCAAAATCCTGCAGCTCTCTCACTGTGTGCCTGCTCAAGGCCACAGGCTGTTTCAGGTGGCTCTTTCCAGCCTGACAGACTCACCAGAATTATTCCCATGGGTCCCAGGGCAGAAGGAGGGGTGGAAGATGATGGCAAACTCTACTGGAGTGTACTGAGYATCCAGATTACAAGCTCTTGGATCGCCCATTGGTTTGCATTTTCTTTTCTTGGAGATCCAGTCATCTTGGAGATGACTGAAAATGTTGCTCAGCTCGTGCCACCTCTCTGGCTTCATACAAAGCCCTGAAGGAGGGCTTGAGCTGCCTTTTCCCCTGCACACCTGGATTAATATCCTCAAGTTTCCAAGGGGAAATCATGCTTAACTAAACTGATCGCCTTCTATGATGGAGTGACTGGCTGGATAGATGAGGGCAGAGCGGTGGATGTCATCTATCTGGAMTTCAGCAARGCTTTTGACACCGTCCCTCACAGCATCCTCCTGGGCAAGCTCCGGAGGTGTGGGATAGATGAGTGGACGGGGAGGTGGATTAGGAATTGGCTCAGTGGCAGGGTGCAGAGAGTGGTAGTCAGTGGCGCAGAGTCTAGTTGGAGGCCTGTACTTAGTGGTGTCCCCCAGGGGTCGGTCCTTGGTCCGGTCCTGTTCAACTTATTCGTTAATGACCTCGATGAAGGGCTGGAGTGCTCCCTCAGCAAGTTTGCCGATGATACCAAACTGGGAGGAGTAGCTGATAGCCCTGAGGGCTGTGCTGCCATCCAGAGGGACTTGGACAGACTGGAGGACTGGGCGGCGAGAAACCTCATGAGGTTCAACAGGGGCAAGTGCAGGGTCCTGCACTTGGGGAGAAATAACCCCGGACACCAGTAGAGATTAGGGATTGATCTGCTGGAGAGCAGCCCCGCAGAGAGGGACCTCGGCATCATGGTGGATGACAAGATGACCATGAGGCAGCAGTGTGCCCTGGTGGCCAAGAAGGCCAACGGGATSCTGGGGTGCATTAAGAAGAGCGTCTCCAGCAGGTCRAGRGAGGTGATCATCCCCCTMTACWCAGCCCTGGTGAGGCCACATCTGGAGACTGTGTCCAGTTCTGGGCTCCCCAGTACAAGAGSGATGTGGAGCTGCTGGAGAGAGTCCAGCGCAGGGCTACGAGGATGATCAGGGCCCTGGAACATCTGCCCTGTGAGCAAAGGCCGAGGGAGCTGGGCCTGTTCAGCCTGGAGAAGAAAAGGCTGAGGGGGGACCTGATCAGTGTCTATAGATACCTGAAGGGAGGCAGTGAGGAGGAGGGGGAGGCCTCTTTTCAGTGGTGGCCAGCGACAGGACTAGAGGAAGCAGCCACCAGCTGAGGCACCAAAAGTCCCACAGGAGCTTAAGGAAACACTTCTTGACAGTGAGGGTGACAAAGCCCTGGAACAGGCTGCCCAGAGAGGTTGTAGAGTCTCCTTCTTTGGAGATCTTTAAAACCYGCTTGGATGCAGCCCTGTGCCACATGCTCTAGGTGACCCTGCGTGAGCAGGGGGTTGGACTAGATGACCTCTGAGGTCCCTTCCAACCTTAAGCATTCTATGATTCTATGATTCTGTGAAGTTTCCTAGTCCAAAACCAATTTGCCATGAGCCCTTTCTGAAGCCACACAGGGACATTGCTGTGGGCCTTATGTCTATGGRTGCAGCACAACCACAGCAAAGGGGGTCTGAACAGCTTTGAGCCTCAACACCCCACTCGGGGGCAAGTGGAGTGGGRATGTGGGTGCCCATGGGAGCTGCATATGTGTGCTTAGCTGCTGACCTAGCAGCATCTTAAGGAATCTTTGAGATGTCTCTGTGTTTTTTTTCCTTAGGCATTCAATAAAACAGTTGCTAAGGACAACTCTCTAGCTGTTGGCTTCTTTCAGAGAGGGTTTGTCCATCTGCAGTTAAAAATGTAAGTCTTTTTTTTTTTTTTCTTTTGGTAATAATTTATCTTCCTAAAATTCACTTTTTCCAGTGATCTTAAACAGTTCATGAGGTCCTATTTGGCTTTGTAAGCCATACCACAGATTGGCTAGTGTTATCTCCCCTTTGCAGGGGAGAACTAAGAACAGTTATACAACTCTGGGACCTCAGGAGTGGCAGGCTAATATGTGACATTATTATCCTGTACACAAGGAGAAGGAAGTTACTCCTGCATGTTTATGTTGCCGTTCACTTTTTGACAGGAAATGAAAAATATAATTGCACTGATTGGTGGATCTTTTTATGTTACATGTGAGCCAATATCCCTAAAAATGGAGTCTGTCCAGTATGTCTGGCACTTCCTCTCTGCTGAGAGTGGATTATGTGGCCTGAACTCGACCTCACTCGTTTAACAGCGAGATTGCTCCATTAGTGTCACTGGATTGACACTGACAGCTTCTCTTGATGGTGATGGCTAACTCCTTGTTCAAGTGGATGCTGTACAGACCTTCCTGGATCCTCTGTTTCACCAGTTGCAGCCTCAGAGGGAGCTCACTTGCCCTGCATAGCATAGGATTGCCCAAGTGCATCCCTTCTAATGGGGAATTTGTTGCCTTTTTGGGAGCTGAATCAAATTCTTTCCTGAGTACATGTAGTGTAAATGCAAACTCATTCCTTTCCTTAGGGTATCTCTAGAGTTCTGCTAGTATTGATCTGTCCATTCATGTGTCTTTGCTAATCACTGGCAGCACTGTTTATACAGCCATCACTTCATTTCCTCTGAGCTGTCTGCTAGGCCAAGCTTGCCAGAGCGAGCAGCGCAAGGATGACCGCTGTAAATTCACAGGATTTGTTAATCCTTGTTCTTTGCACTTTTTCCTCCTGGGAACTGTGGCTGCACTTCAGGTACCACAAAAACATCATTTATCCCCAAAAAGTAAAACAATGCATGTTATCCCAGAGGAGAGACAAACCATGTCCATTTTGTAGTACAGACCAATGAAAAGAGGACAGGGAATATTTGTTTTCACAAGATCATACGTGACTCCAGTGAGGCACTTCTAACCCAAGCTATTGGGAAGRGGATGATTTTCTTTGCTAGTCTGATTCTTCCTAATGAGAGTCTAGTCATGTTTTCATTCTTAATATCATCTTTTCTTTGCAGGTACGAAGAAGCTCTCTCTGATTATCATATGGCTTTCACCCATCTAAGAAAGAATCCATTCATTGATTACAAGCAGCTGGGGCTGAGATATGTGCTTAATGCATGGGAGGTAATAGTCACTCTGTGTTTCTGTAGTCCTTCTCCTTAATCAGGTTTTCAGAAATAGGTGTTATTAACCTAACTGCTTTTCCAGAGAGTGCAGAAGAAGAAAAATCATTTCATACTTGTAGTTCTTTTTTTTTTTTTCTTAAAGGATATTTGAAAACTTGTAACAAATTGCTCATAGTTTGAAAATTAAAATAGTTCTGAGCACTTCTACAGCTCCTTGTATAGGCATGTATTTTTTAGCTTATGTGTGTAGCATATATTTTGTGAACTCTTCTGCTTTRAAAGCAGAAATAGCTTGAAATATAGACAGATGGAAACATGTTTTGTTTATAATTAAAGCTTAATATGTTTATGATGAAGCTCATGTGCATGAAAGTTTTTCTGACTATAGATAGATGTCTTAATATTGCAAGTGGGTCTAACCTGGGCTTCAAGCTGCTTGATGATACTTATCACTTCTACAGCACTTCCATCTCYAGGTCATACACTGTTGCATAGAGTAATACTGCCACATCCTGTACAAAAAGACCTAAGCCTGTAAAAAATTTTTCAAAAATGCAGTGTTTTAATAGAAGATGCAGGTGGGTGACTGTAAGGTTCATTTCTTCCTGGAATTGAGTCTAKGCATGTGACCTGAAAAGCAGACTCAGGAAAAGGTATTCAATCCTTCATTTCTACAAGAGGAATGAAGAGTTATTGTATATCTCAAACTAAGCATGCCCAGGAGCCATTCAGATTTGTTCTATTTTTGTGTGCCTTTTACCTGGCAGGAAGAAGTTGCACTTGACATTTGTGGTCATTTAAACCTGATTACTTTTAAAAGTTTCAGTGTCTTTGAACAATATGAATGTTCCCAACACTCCTTTCAGTCAGCTCACACACTTTAGAAACAATGAGTTCTTCTTGAGGTGTAGTCAGCTGCAAAAATGCCCGAAGTGCCTCAGGAGGTAATCAGGACCTTCCATGGTATGAACAAACAGCTCCTCCCCCGACATGCTGTAGACATTGCCAGAATATGTGCCGTCACCGTGCTGACACTCTGGACTCAGAATCTGCCTCCTGATTCAATTGTATCTCATTCTACTCAGGTCTAGCTACATCTTTCTGCCTTAAAAAAAAAATGCAAATAAATCTTTTCAGAGAACTGTGTCATCAGATTTCCCCATGCATGGCTTCTCATATGCTGCATGTGATCCTCTCAGGCGRGAGGAGATGTGGTGCATGGTTCCAAGATCCACATTTTTTTGCCACTCACATGGGCAATGCTTCTGAGTTCAGGGGGAGTTTCTGTATCTCAGAGGCCTGAGGGGCAGATGCCTCAGGCCTCAGCTTCTCCAGGAGCATCTCCAAAGTTCTTGTAGGTTTTTAGCATGGTCATTCTACCCAGAAAAAGGAATATTCTAGTAAAAGGATGCAYGAGTGAAGGAAAAGCATCTTGTTATCTGCATCTCTGTTTCAAACACTGTTTACATCCAAATATTTTAAAGCAACTTGCAAGACAAGAACCATATAATAAAAAGTAGCAAGAGATCTAACACGGGAATCTGTTGGGCCACTTCTATACACTAACTGTTGGGCATTGACAAGAAGAGAAGCTTTCCTGTTCAAGGGCTTCCCTACATCCAGTCTGTAATGTTCCTGCACCCCACATATCATCAAAGAACATACTTACAAGCTGCTTAAGRCTAGCAAGGTACAGCTGACAATTTGTACATTCATAAACCACAGCAAAGTACAGCAATTTCAGGTAGGTTATTCTGTAGGGAGAGAAAGTCAGAGAGACTTTGCACAGCAGAGAAATATTACCCAGCTCTATATGAAGAGAAAACCAGGCAGCTTGGCAAGGAAATCCTTTCTGGCCTTTCTGGCCTGGTGTTTTAGTACCTCGTCCCTCTTGGCTGGGTTGCTGAGTGCAGTAGACTGGTTGCTTTCAACTCGACCTCAGTCTTTTGAGTTAAGACACAGCTGGCTTTGTTCCCTCCTTGCTGTTCTAGGTGCTGTACAGCACTGCAGCAGCGCAGTGCCGGCTCGGGCAGTGGCAGGAAGCTAAGGCCACCTTAGAAAAGGCTGTGGTGTGGACACCCGAAGGAAGAACAGCAATCCTGGACCAGGCCCTTGAACAGGTGCAGGTAAGAGTACTACTGTAGGCTATTTTTTGGAGTACATTGGCCTTAAGTTAAAAAATCTAAGATAAAAATGTGCCAGTTGTTACATGTTTAGTCCCTCCTGTCTGTCCATCTGCATGATCACCTAGTGATAGAGTCTAAGGCGTTTTGAACAGAAAGGATGTAGATATATATGAAGGATGTGATACTCTTCCTTCTGGGGCTAGTTCTAAGTAAATTTCCTATTAGCGTCAGCACAATTCCACTCTTGCTTGATCAGGAACAACTGACAGTTCACTAATTTACTTTGCATGGAAGAGTCATTATTTTGTTACTTCTGTACTTCCTTATCTCTTTTGTATACCTTTAAAGGACAATGGCTTTTTATAGACTGATAATCTCCTAGCACCACCTTTGTCCTGTGTGTCAATGTATTATTTATACGTRCTATTGAATGCCACTTTGTGGGTGCATAGACTGACGGAACAACAACATTCAAAACCAACTAGAAAAACTGATCAGAGATTTGTTTAACCATCATTACGTCACTGCCCTTCCTTACCACCCATCCAAAGTCAACAGAGTCAGCCTGTGACTCAACACTGAGCAGTGCCCTCCGTGATTTTGATTTCATGCACATATTAAATCCAAGTGCCATATTTCAAGTTCGCAGCTGTAATTTTTGCCCTAATATTTCCCTGGAGCTGATTTTCCACACATAGGGAAGCATTACCTGCTTTTTACTGATCTTAATTTAATATTAATTGATGGCTTTTCCTTGATCTTCTTTCAAAACCCTAGGAGCGTATGTTTTTAGAGCCCATGCAGGTTCCACCTGGGGAATTTTTCAGACCACGAAAGAGGGAAATTGAAGAGCTGGATTCAAAAGATTTCCTGGGTAAACCTAAGGTAAAAGGTAACATCATCTTATCTACAGAAAAATCAAACATAGCATATAAAAACATGTGAGGTGCATGATAACTAGGATTAACAACAAACAGGTTAAAATCACAACTTCTGATATCTCCAGAGAACATTACTGATGGCCTGGACATCAGCCCCTGCATTGGAAGAGACCCCAAAGCAGGGTCTCAGGGCCTTCAGCCACTCAGGGTATCTGGGAAACACAAAATGAGATTTGTTACAACTGCGCCCTCTTCTATCAAAACTGCACATTGTTGCTAAAAAGTCTTCTGCATCTTAGTCATTATAAGTCTGAAAAAGCAAAGCAGGTACTTAGTGATTGTCATTTTGCTGACAATTACATTTTTGAAAGGAGTAGATTTCTCTGCCCCACTCTTAGAACTGCATTCCCAGTGTGACAGACATGCGCTTGGGTTACAAATGTTTTGTCATGTAGTTAACATGATCTCTTTCTCTGATCTCTTCTATGGCCATGGAACATGGCATAACTGTCAGCTCAGAGATCTCTTCAGAAAACAGGGACAAGGGCATTTGAAGTTGCTTTTGGGGTCCAACTGTGCACCTTTCATGATATGCCTGACCACTAGAGAGGTCAGAAGGAAATGAGTCTTAGGGGCTTAGTTGCTCTCTCTTCATACAGCTTGAATTCAGTAATTTATTTATCTTCCTACAGGTGATCTCCTCCATCATTCCCAATGATGAATACATTGGCTTCGAGCCTCTTAGGCCTCAGGTGAGCAGGACATAGCTGTGAAAGGAAGAATGCACAGCARTATCATGCTGCTGTCATAAAGCTCCATGTAGGTCCTCAGATCTTGACACCATCAGCAGAAGAGTGCATCACTGAAAAAAAATGCAGTTTCTACCTGTGAATCCTCATATCAGAGCAGATACCATGGGGTCTTTCAAAGCCAACTGGATTGTTTCAGCATTGACTGGAGGGGTCTCAGGCAACAGTGTGAGTCTCCATCCCTTGGAAGATGCATGTTACTCTCCTCACCATGCTAAAACAGCAGTGGAGCCTCTGCTGTCCTCCACATATATTTGCAAAGCAATGTTGTAAATTTGGTAGCATAAACATCTTGCACTGTATGAGTTATCTAGAGTACAGAGTAGGGGGAAAAAACTTGAGTACTCTATCTCAGGTGGGAGTACTTGAATACTGCCACTCTTTACCTAATGGGATAAAGGGAGAACTGGAGAAATTGCAGGGGCACCCTGGTAAGATGTGCAGCAGCAGATTGCAGGCTGTGGTGTGGCAAATGTGGTCAAAGGAGAAAAAGAGAAAATAATGAGAAGCTCCCTCTCTTCCAAGAGGCAGTAAATAAGGTGACACTTTTTRCTCAGTCACATACTGTTCTAAATGGATGCTCTTTCCCCCCTGCAGAAACAAGGCTTTTATGAGCCCAGTGCTGATGCTTTGCGGTAAGTGGCCAGTCTCACCCTGGTCTCATTCTTCTCTCACTGTTTCTGTTCAGAATGTCATGTTTTGTCCTCTGATATTTTTCTTCTGAGGACTCTACAAGATCCACATCTAACTCTCAAGCTTGGAGAGAATGCCCAATGTACAAAAGGCTTGTGTGGCTGCAAGAGATGCTGCAGCTAGCAAGAGTTTTGCAGATAGTACTCTGAGATTCTTAATTTAGAGCTATGCAGGAGGCAGTGCAATGGTCTGGGGAAACAGATAATAATCACATAGCGGCTGAGAAATGGGATGTGCCCAGTCCTGGTTTCTAGGACAAAGCTTCCAAGTGCTAGCTGCAAGCTCTGCACTGCTAAGCCAAATTCAGCCCTGGTTCAAAAACATGAAAGTCATCTGTTTTGGTAATATTGTGGCAATGGTACTTCAGAGTTAAATTTTAATCTTTGCTTTGTTTTGGAAGATGTTTAATGGCACAGGGGAAATGGGGCAGTTGCCTTTGCGGAAGTTGCATTTCAAGCTGCATTTCAAGCTCCTTTTGTTCCTAGCTGGAACAAAAGAGTAACAATGGGAATCAGAATTTCCTACCAGCTGAAAGTTTTGGCTCATGCTATTTTGCATCAGTGCAGTGTTTTGGATAAAATGTCATCTCAGGATTAAAGCTCCAAGGTTACTTGGGTAACAGTTCTTTTATTCCTATTCTTTCTAGAGACCGTGAATCAGGCTACTATCGAATTTTGTCCCATTTTTATCCTGAGGACTCAGAAAAGTTGGCAGTGAAAGCAAACAGTTTGGTCTTTGTGCTGAGTAGAGGAGCAAATGGCTGGGCTACAGCCATACATGATGGACAGGTAAGGCAAAAGCATGGACCTCCCAATACTTCCCAGCCAAGAAAGACCAGACTTGTGCCTATCAGCAAGTTCTCACTGCACCTCTCCTAATAGGTGTTTTTGAGACCCTTCCGTAGCACCTCAGAGCAGGACATGTGTTCACAAGCTCATTTCCACAGATTAGTTGCTAGTTATGGGTGTCTCTGATACATGGCTCCTGCCAGCTTCTCCTACTCACCCCTTACCTCCATCTATCCACAAGGGCTCTTCTGTAGTCGCTTGTGCTCTCCACCATTCAGGAACCTACGGTAGAATCRGAATGACTCACAGATGAAAGTAAGGACCACAGTTACAACAGTACTTGTCACCTGAGAGTTCTAATGGAGCTGAAGGAGAAGACAACTTGGTCYTTACTTGATGTGAAATATTTCTGTTAAAATAACTTAGCAAAATTTGGRGGAAGGTTTCAGCTGTGCTGGCAGGTTTTATAAATGGCTCTAGGGAAGATCCAAGGAGCTGCAGTCCAGCAAATTTGACATCTTTCTCTCTGTTAGAGGAATATAGTATAGTTCCAAATAAATTTCATTGAAATAAATAAATATGCCAAAGTGGGAGATTCTTTTGTTGAGACACAAAACCCACATCTGGGTTAGGACCATACTTCCAAAGCAAAAATCTATCAAAGGATTCTTCACAAAAATACTCAAACCCCCCAACATCTTAGGGTATCAGAAATAGAAAGGGCTGATAATAGATTARCAGGTAAAAATAGAATAAAGGACAGGCAAAAATGAACATTTTTTTTAAGGAAAGAATGGCACCACAAACACTGTTGTGACCTGAAATATTCAATATATTCCTAAGATATGTTTGTAAAGGTGGTATGTCATAAGGCAACAAGAGTCTATGCTAATGTCAAATCATTCAAAATACTCAGATTTGAAGCAGTGAAACAGTGAAAAGTTACAGAAAAATTTGAATATTATAGTTGACTGGTCTCTAAGGTGACAGATGAAATTCAAAGTCAATAAATTTATTACAGGTTGGAAAAAAAATGTAATTACTCATAATGATCAGTTAATGCAGGTTAGAGACTGCAACTACCATCACAGCCAATTCTTGGCTCATTTTCTGCTCTGCTTTGTGTTCTGTAGAAGCTGCATATACCAGCCTCTCTACTGGAGCTTGTTCCTGCCCCAAAGATGGATGAATTGGTGAGATGCTAATCTTGTAACAAGAGGGAGAGGGAGGAACCAAGGACATTTGCTTGTAAGATTAGCACAGGAGAGGATACCTGTGTGTCATTAGCACATGTTGTTTCACCTTGAACAAAGACCAAGTGCTTTCTGAACTGGAACAGAAAAGTTAAGAGCAGGAAAAAAAATGCACGTTTATTCTGATCTCTTACCAGCAAAATCTAAGGGTTTTCTTGTATGTCCAGGCCTCAGTGGTTTTCATTTCAGGTTGACCAAGGTCATGATAACCTGCTGCAGCTTCCAGTGTCTTCTGCTTAATGCTTTGCTCTGTTGTTCTCTTGCAGAATGTCAACAATGGGATTCCTCTCCCTCCTGCTAAGGTGCCTCCCAGCCGAATCCCTGGGAAACAAAAACCAGGTAGCGTTTTTGTTGGCCAGGTAGGCCAACATGTCAATGAGTATTGTGTGAAATTGCTGTGCCAAAACCTTGTTGTTTTAAGGGTGTGTGAGGAGACTGACCCCTGCAGCAGTGGCTGTCTATATACTAGCAGATTGCAAAATAGTTTTTTTGGATCTGTGCTTTCTGCATGTACTGCTTATGGGTTTTGTTTTCTGTTCTGCAGAATCTCCTGATGGAGAAAATGCCTCTGCAAATGCTGATGTTTCCCAAATGGACTTTAAGGTGGGCATTTTACAAATCAAAAATTTCACAAAGTAAAGCTGCTACAGCCTCAGAAGAACAAAATTGTAAAAACTGCTAGGGGAATTTTTAGCCAGATCCTAGAAAAGGCCTGWGGTGCCCCAAAATCACTGGGAAAACTTCTGTCCATGTTTTCATTTCAGAGATGGTCCTTCCATTCCAGAGACATGTTCCTTCCTCAACCACTCCTAAGTCTGTGACCATGCTGCTTTGTGAGGCAGCCCAAAGTTGCAGCTTCCCAGAGCAGGGCCCATTTTTCACCTTCCAGGGAGCTGAGCTCTGCCAGCTGCAACTGCATCAAGTGCTCAGAAATGCAGTTTGCAGCCTGTTTTTGTAAGAGAGCAGTCTCTGAATTAGCCACTCTTCCCTTTCCTCTCTTCCTGTGAAGTATTTTAGAAGTACCGCAGCAATTTGAATATTCATATTTGATTTCTTCTGGGAATATATCCTCTAACATGTCTCCATATCATTATCAACCACTGTCCTCTATGCTGAAAAGTGTAGCATGTCTGAGAGTGCTGGAACTACTACTGTGTCCACATAGAGACAACACCTTCTGTGTTACTGTCAGCTTCAGATCTCTATCAGCCTTTGTCTTTGCCATGCTTATCTAGTGATATTGGAGTCATCTTTTGTCATCTGTGCTTTAAGCAGAAAGGCAGTAGAATAGGAGCCCTTGCCTGCATCTTTCTATCTGATTAGAAGATGTTTTATAGGTAAAGTCCTGCAGGGATTTGGAAGGGGTCTGTGTGATCCAACRCAAGGACAGGTTTCTTGGAATCACAGTAGGAACATTAGATCCTGGTCTATGASCCATCACATTGTTTCTGCTCTGTAATTCAGATCTGCATTTTGACACCACATTATCATTATGTGGCAGCATTGAGCTGAGAGGCTTGTGTCTGTGTCACCTCTCTCAATATGGCAGAGAGTCCTGAATAACCAGATTGTCCTGAAATACTGTGCTATATTTCTCAAAAAGATCCCACTGACACCGGAAGAAGCATTGTCCAGCACAGACAGACCCACTGTACTGAGAGTCCGCTGTGACTGCACCATAGCGCTGAGAGCAGGCGAGGTGCCATCTCTGTCAGACCTGCGGGCTCTGCTGAGGGAGAAGTTCAGCCAGCAAGCAGAGCAAGGGATGTTGAGGTACGCTGTGGAACCATCTGGGGAGCGTCTATGCCCTCAGTGAATGCACTGAAACTGGCAGCATATGACAGAGAAGCTGCAATGATGACCACCTCAGTAGCCCAGGGAAGCTCTGGAGACTCAAAGGATCTTCCCAGGAAGCTACACAATGGTAGAGAAACAGGAGTGAACCCAAAGAAAAACTCTGTACAGATGCAGCTGATGCATATCTGATGTTCTCCAGCTCAGCTCAGCTTTTAAAATCCCCTAGGACTGACACAGAGGAATTTAGGAGTCAGATATAAATGTATAAATGTGAGTTAGTCCTGGCATGAGGTGTCTCTTACTGTTAACGTCCCTGGAGGAATTCAGTCAAGGTAGTCAAGAGAATTCAGGATCTTACCCTCAAGGAAAGTATCCAGGCACATGAGTTGCTCCCTGACATGGTCACATCTATCCAGTGAGCATACAGYGAACCACAGTGACAAGTTCACAGTTGGTTTACAAAGGAAACTTTGTAAGACTCAAGATTTTATAGTGCTAGAATTACCTCTAAGTTTGGCTTTAAATCAAGTGATTTGAGTCATCTCAATGAATCATTGCAGCTGCAGGCATTCAGACAGCAAAGAACTGGTTGCAGTTTTGGGAGAGGAAGATCTGGGGAAGAGATGGCAACAATTGGCAGATGGCAGGCTGACACTCTGGTGCGAGGTAGGTACACTGTGACTTGCTTTTATGCTGTGCTAGACTCTAATGTAGTCTCTGCTTTKCACTTGCAATCTTTACACTGGCTTTCTCCTGTAGGGCTTGGATTCCCACTCAGGCAGACCGGTCCTCTACAGGATGCTGGCTCAGCACCATTACCTGGCGCAGGGGCCAGGCGACCTGGAGTTCAGCAAAGGAGACACCCTGGACATCCTTTCCGAAGGTAGCTGTCTAGTCCTGTTGACAATGCTCTACTGGACAAGGCTTTCAGAGTTGCAGGGAGGGAGTGGAGATAATGAGGAGTAGGTGGCTTCTCTTCAGTGCTGTTACAGGCTTGAGCCTTCAAGATGTGCAGGCTTGCAGCACTGAAAACTCTCATTAAGCCTGCTCATATGGACAGGGCTCATGCTACTCCTTTRTATTTTTCCAGTGAATAATGACTGGCTTGAAGGACACTGCAATGGCAAGACTGGCATCTTCCCGAAATGCTTTGCAATTCAATCTGGCTATGATACTACATCCCTATAGGCAACAGGGACCTATTCCCGACGGACTACGCAGAGAGCCCACTGCCATCAGTCCCATCTCCCATGAGTCAGAGACAACAGTACCAGCTCTTTCAGACCACAGCCAGGCCATCAAGATGCTCTCATGAAGCTGACTACTCTAGATAGGAGATGTCCCACAGCTATGGATCCCACGGGGTCAGGTGCAGCCATCTGGCAGCATTTTCTACAGCCTGTCCCAAGACTTGTCATTTTTACCTCTATTCTTACAATGCCAAAAATATGATTGTCTGGGTCAGAGAGAAGATTGGAGGATTTGGTATTTGGCTACATGAAATGCCCATATAACAACCAGAGGAGCATACCTAGGCTTCAAGAGCTCAGACTAACGGGTGTGAAAAGGCTCTTCTAAATGAAGGAATTTATGAATTCTCCCTCTGCTGCTGAAATCTGGGTTGGGGAAACCGAGTCTTGTTGTATAGCTATTTGTGAGCAGGAGGCAGAATCAGTTTCCTGTGTCCATTTACCACACATTTTCATTTGCATCAGAGGTCAAGCTGCTGCTCTCTTTTTGAAAGCCTTCTGTAACTGGTTCACAGTGGGGTATTTGGAGTGACATTGGGGGTTAGGCCCAGCAAGTATCAGCTGCATATACTTGTGGATCTGCAAGAACACAAAGGGCACTTGCCACTTCAGTGCTCAAGATGCTTTTTGCTCTTTTTCGAAGTCCTTGAAAAGTCTTGTCTGGATTTTACTGTACAATCCCATACGAGCAGCAGTCTTGCAGCATGGAGGAGAGGAAGCTGTGGAAACACTCCTGCTCACAGGGGCTCTGGGCTATGGCAGAGGCGCTCACTTGGGAGCTAGGAAGAAATGCCTGTCTGGTTCCCCCAGCAGAGCTGTGCTGGGCAGTGTGCTGGGCAGTGCTGTTTTAAATAGAATAACTCAAGTGCCTATGGATTTAGTGTTGGACTAAGCTGGGCTATGTAACCTGAATATAAAATAAAGASTGGATGAATGGTGGCAACTCTTAAATCAACTGTTGATTATATTTTTCCATTGAAATGTGCCAGTAAATATTTTGAAGACATCTGACAGTCCATCCTTGGGAAAATAGTCTGTCATATGTTCAAGAAAAAACAAAAAAGGTAAAACAAATGGATCTTGGTTCAAGTCAAGGTATCTATTCTAGTGCACAGAGCAACATACAAAAAGGTTACCCCACTCCTCCGAGCAGTCCCAAACTGGGGGCCTCCTGARAGTTTTGCTAGCTACCGCTGTTTGCCAGCATTGATTCACCTCCAGAGCTCTGGATGGCTCTCCACAGTCAGACTTGGCTTTGCTTTCCAGAGCTCTCCTCAAGTTGAGGCAAGATGGCTGTGAAGCAATASAGGCTAGCTGTACTTCTGCTTCTGGCACCCTGCAACTGCAGAACCTCTGCCACCATCCCTGCACCTCACCTGCACATACTTGCAGAGTGGTGGGGCACCTTGTGGGAGGCATCTGAACAGGGCTGGAACTGCCAAGGACTGGAAGCTCTCTGTATGTTACACTGGAAATCTCAATGGCYAGCAACCTCCAGATTTGAAAAAGACAAAGAATTTTATTTCTATTTTGAATTTATCTAGTTTCATCTTCTGACCACTAAGTCTCAGCCTTTGTCAGCCAGACTGAAGAAGTTTATGGAGTCAGAAATCTTTTCCTCATGGAAGGATATAGAGAGCTCATGTTAACTTTGACATCTTTGAGGTGTTTAGAGAGATGACCCAGTTAGACCTCCTGAGCAATGTAGAGGGACTTATGCCATCATCTTTTTCCACCKTCTTTTATACCACTTCTTCCTGTCTGTTTCAGTGGGCAGGGATTTCCTAACCAAGATCCAGGGAACTACTTGGGTTTCCAGAAACACAGGAGAAAAATGGCCATCAAGCCCGTGACAGTGGCCAGCACAATGAAGAAGATGGCACTTGCCCAGAGGTCAGGCTGCTGCCCTTTGACGTGCACCAGGGCTTCTGTGGGGATCATGTTGGTGAGGTTTAGCATGAAACCCAGAGTCCAGCCGATGTCCACGTTTGCTGCCTGAGACAAGAGCAGAAGGAGTCATCAAGAAGTGCTTTTCCTARGCACTGATCAATAGTTTTGGCACAACAGACCGACAAGCACTGTTCCCAAGAGCTGCCCCAGCAGAGATATAGACATGGCATACATATAGACCTGGCATACCTAGACCAGACCCTGTTGCATACCTAGTCTTACCAGCACTTTTTTACCAGCACTTTTCACTAAGGATTAAAGGGGAGCTGAACAAGAATGACTGCTATTATCCAGATGTGCCCTCACATCTGTGTCCAGATGTGACCTTCGTGTGATTTTGGGTTGGGCTTCTATGATCCTTTGGGCTTCTATGATCCTTTGGGCTTTTCACTTCTATGATCCTTTGAGCTTCAATATATTCGGGTGCATATGGGTCAGGGGCCACCATACCCCTTTTACATTCATGTCAGTTCTGCTCAATATCAGAGATCGAAATTACCAAAACTTGATTTGCCCTTCTCCAATCCCCTTAAAATTAGCCAATATCCTCATCGGAGTAAATGAGAAAAGAGTAGGTGTCAAGAGACTTTGTGGCCGTGATTCTGTTCTGGGATCACTGGGTGGCAGCGTTGCRGCAGGGATACATTTCTAGCTCAGTGGACTCCAGGGCTGAACTATCCTGAACTTCCTTGCCAAGGGAAGGATGTAGCCAGCAGCTGCCTGCCCCAATTCCCACTGCCACTCAGGGCTTTTACCTTTTTGCTGAAGTGGATGCTGCTCCATGTATGCTCATCAAACTTGTAGCCATCAAGTAGCAGTGTCAGGATGTAAACAGCAATGGAGCAGTACATGTGCAGGCGTTCTGTCTCTTGTGGGAAATCCTCCACCAGCTTTTGGGGCCATTGGGGGACACAATGTGATGAGGAACAAAACAGATGCTCAGAAGCTTTCCATGTCCCAGGGAACAGCATGGTGTGTTCTTCCTGAGTATCCCAAGCATTGCTCTCGAATAACCCCATGATTAAAGCAGGGACACCTGCAATAATCTCTTTCCAACATGGACCTTCTGTACTGCCTCCCTAGTCCAACGTACCTGCATGTACATCAGGCAAGCCTAACGGGAAAGGGGAGTTGGAATCGCCAGAGGAGGTAGTTCATTGGCCTGGAGAGGCACAAGGCTCCTGTCTGCTCTTCACAGAGCTCTTACCTCTTTCCAAGTACTGTTGCAGAAGGCCCAGATGGTGGAGTTGACATGGCCTAGAGACTGCTGACCAGTGATGTTCAGGAAGTGGAAGGTATAATAGAACCCAGAAAATGCCTAGGAATAACAGAAGGCTGTAAAAGCACTCAAAGATGACAAAAAATACATCATCTTTCTCACCCCAAATAAGTCCCCTTTGCGGTTAGTACAGCCATCTGTGCCTTCAGTGCCTCCCGACATTGAAATAGTGAGAGRTGCTGTGAGAACTGAGCACCTTGGAAGCCAGGATCTGTCTGACTCCTGAGTGAGCATCTACGCACTATCCCAGTTTTCATGGAGTCAGTATTCACTGGCATTATGCAGGTTTCTACTRTTTATTTGCTAGCATTTTCCCCAGGCCTTTGCCAGACTCTGCCCACCCAGAAACACCACAACCATACCATGACCACATGGACAAAGGACTCCTTACAAAGAACTGCCCCCGCACAGGGGGCTGATAAATGCCATTGAACCCACACGTCCTGTGAGCCCCACAGCTGAAGTTGAAGAGTTTCTCAATGGCTGTCTTGCACGCTGCTGGGTCTCCTGTCCCTGTCACTGTGAAGACCTGTGCAGGGCTCGGTGTGCTCGGCATGGGGACACAGGGACTGTCGTAGAGAGCTGCTGTGGTGACGTTTTCCTGGTATCCCTTCGGGTAGCAGGGGTGAGTTACCTGCTGGGGAGAAGAGCTGCCCTAGAGAGGGCAGGAGCTGTTAGTGGTGCTTGGCTTGGGATGGCAGCCAGGCCCTTCCTCCACAGCCCACCCTGTGCAGGGACCCACCCAAAAAACAGGACCTGGAGCCCAAGAAGACTTGGTGGGTAGCAGGACACATCCTTTGCATGGTTTGAAGCTGCCCGCAGCAGCAGCAGAATTCTCCTTTTCTCCCTCGCTGCAACCTCCCCGCTTTGGGGAGCGCTGCTCTTGGCTCATTGCCATTCAGCACTCCCCATCATCTCTGCACTGAGCTGTGCAGGGGCTCAGCCACCTGCCATACYTCCGTGCTTATTTAGGGTTGCAAGGAGCGGAGACCAGCTCCCTGTGCAAGCCAGACACTGCCAAGTCAGGTGTCTGCATTCCCTGGCCTCTGCTCCTGGATGAGATGCAATGTGGCCAGGTTCTTCCATGTCTGGAAAACATTCTCCACGACATGGGAAGGGCTCGAGCAGATCGTGTAAGCAATGCCCCGCAAAGTTAGCAGGGGCTGGCTTCAGCTCCAGTACCTCACGGAGAGCCGCCAGCAGCATCTTCAAGGCCTGTGTCTGTCCATAGCACAGATAGCTGTGRGTGTAGAGCGAGTAGTTGGTGCTGTAGAGCCTTAAGAGGATGGAGGTGTTTTGGTCCTCAATGGTACTTCCAGGCTGGAAGGTTATTTGTGTAGAGGCACCTCCAAGGTCCAGAGCTCCCAGCACCTCTGTGCCTTGTGGATGTTCCCATTTCTCTGCAAAGGAGAACTGGCCCCACCAGAGAGCATGTTTTAGAGTGAAATGCCAAAAATGGCAGTCCCTGTTCCTTTCACCAAGACTTTGAGGCCAGTTGCAAAGAGCCTGACAGACCTTCCACAAACCAGATCCCTGCTACCCCCTTGCATCTCAGTGCATCTCTGAGATGTGGCCCCTTAGATGCTTCCCATCGGCTTGGAGTCAGTGACCTAGTGACCTTAGGAAGGGAAAGGGTGCTGGAGGAGCCCCCTTCTTTGCTCTCTTCGCAGGATCTGCTGGGTCTGACATTGCTGCAGCTCCAAACCAGCCTGTTCCCAAAAGCAGCTYCCAGGCAGGTGCATAGGACAGGGCCGGGCTGAGCAGGGCACAAAGACCCTCCTGCCCTTGGCTGCATTAACGCCAGCGGCAGAGCCAAAGGAGCAACTTCTCAGCAAGCTGCATTTGTTTGGGAGACTAGTGCCTTAAAAGGACACATTTCTCCCMTCTGGGAATCCCCAAATCTGGCCCCAACTGGCATGGGCGTCAGTGCTGTGCACAGTGCCCTCTGCCCTCTGCCTCAGGCCAGACCTTGACGAGCGTCTCCAGAAGGTAGTTGACAGTGATCCAGCCAAAGGTGCCCTCCTCATTCCCTGTGAGGATCTGAGCTCCACGAAAGTCCACGGGGTACTGGCGAATGGTCTTGGTGACCTCGGCAAAGACCCGCTCAGCTTTGGTGCTGTTCTGCTCCCTGCCGAGGGAAGGAGAGAGAGACCGTRGGGTGGACGAGGCAGTTGCTGTGGGTTTTCAGAGCTGCCTCACACGGAAGGGCTGCTGTCTTCTGCACAGGCTTGAGACTGCCCAGAGAGAGGGCCTGTCCCTCCACCCATCCTCTGCTCTGCCTGGCCGCTGCCTCTGCCCTCCAGCCACCAGACCAGGGTCACTGGGGTCTCCCTAAAACCTCTGCCAGCTGACTTGCTGTGTGCCTGTCTGCCCACTCTGCCCCACAAGCTCCCTCTTCCGCATCCTCTTAGAGCGTGGCAACCCATGGGGCTTCTCTGTGGGCTCACCAAGCCAGCTCTGTTGCCCATCACGGGCAGACTGCACCAATGGATGCTCAGCCCACAGCAGGACACGGCCTCCCATGATGGGACAGCGACTCCTGCACACCAGCACCCCAACCCCCAGCCTGCATGGGCTCTCCTGGTCACCAGAAGCCTATGGCAGGGAAGGGCTGCCAGGAGGCCCAGGCTCTCCAGGTTGTGCCACGTACCTCAGCAGCCTCATGCCCGCTGTAGCCCCAAGGTACGTGGGGGTCTCCTGATGCAGCTTTGCTGGGACCGTCATCATGGCCTTGTCTAGGCAGGGCTTCAGGCTGGCCCCAGCCAGAGCAGGGCTGTCTGCGTAGCTGGAGATGCCAGGTCCTAAAACATGACCTCCCATGAGGGAGCAAACATTTCCAGCCCATTTCCCCAGCCCAATGATCTCTCTGGATCTTCTAGGCAATATCTGCAAATCTTAGTCACATCCCAATTCTCTGTTGTGTTTGGTGTTGTTCAAACACACATCAAAAAGACATACGTGTTCAAACACACACCACAGAGATAGCAGACCAAAGAGAAATGAGAAACTGCATACAGACTACTCTCAGAGACACAACAACATTTAAGGGCATCCTCAGATATTTTAGGGTGCCTTGTGGAATCATGAAGCTAAGTTATAAGAGAAACTGCAAAGACATGTTATGGGAAGAAAAGCTAAAGAAATCACTGCATGAGAGAAGTACCAAACTCACCACGTGGAACATCCGAGGCTGYCAGATCATGCGTTACCACAAGCTGCAAGATCTGACCAGTTCCTAAAACTGTGCTGAAGGCCTAATTTCTTAGCCACCTCTGGGCAGCATTGATCCATCCTTCCCCTAAGGCTTCCTACACCACAGCCTCTGCAGAAGCTTCCTTTTATTCTTCCACCCAGCACACCCTTCTCTGGCCTAGTGTAGGCTAAAAATCTCAATTCACTTGCTGTGTTTTAGCAGCACAAAGTGCAGCAGCCTAAAGCACCTGCACGTCTCCCGAGGGATCAGCAAAAATCTAGGAGCTCTGCTTTGCCTCCAGACCCTTTTCACTGGCCCTCTGGGAGCCTGCCCTACTGGGTCCTGCTCTACTGAAGAAACCTGGTGCCAGGTCTCCTGGGACACTGACCTGGAAGGCAGGACAGAGGGACACATATGCCCCAGAGGGATAGACACTGACTGTCAATGTTGCAGACCTCCACCTGTCTGACAATGCCTGTGCATGTGCCTGTGCATGAGGGAGCAAGCCCAATTCAACTCAAGAAGGACTTAGCACAGACACTTCACCCATAAAGCCAGAAAATCATCAAGGATTTTTCCCTGTGTACCGAGGCTAAAGGTGCCATTTTTAACTAGGTTGTCCATAGCAGTGCCCTTGCTCTGCTCAAAGCCAGCCAACCTTGAGGAAGCATGCTTGGCATGGCCATGGCACACTGGAAAAGCTGCTGGTGAGCTTCTTTCCTCAAAGGCAGGAGAGAACCAGTATGGCCATCTCATGATGCTAAGCACATGCATAATCCAAGGTGTCCATAGAGTCTGGACATGGCCCACTGGTCCTGCATGACTTGCTCTGTAAACAGGCAGCTCCTTATCTCTCTTGGAAAGGAGAAGACCTCCATTTGTCCTGCCAGAAGGACTTGCAGAGTCAATATACACAGAGGTGCCCTCTGTTCAAGCAGACTCAGTCAAACTTCTTCTATTTTTAGAGATCAGCAAGAGACGTGAGGTTTCAGCAAGGTCCTGTGCTATCTGGGGACTAGTTCTGGAATAGAAATACCACTATTTACCTTCTCCAGGACTTTGCATGCCAATAATGCCATTAGCCCAAGTGCTCCCTCTCTTACCCTTTGCCCTCTCCCAGACCTTTGCTTTGCAGCTAAGTTAACTAGTAACTGGCACACAGTAACCTTAGAGCCTTATTTGATGTAGAGGCAAGCTCTGAATTCTCTTACCTCTCTACCTAAGGACCTCTGGCCTGGCTCACTGGTGCCTGCTCATCCTAGCCCAGCTCCATGTATCATTGAGCTCTAGCTGCCAACCCTCACTAGTCTGGTCCTTTCTTCCAAACAGAAGAATCCTTTTTCCAAAGYCAGAAAGCATACAATCACAGAATCATAATGGCTGGAAAAGAAACCTTCAAGATCATTGAGTCCAACCATAAACCCTTCAACACCATACCTGCTAAACCATGTCCGTAAGTGCTTCATCTATGTCATTGTGAACAATAGAAACAAATGCCCCTCTGCATGAGAATCAGTCTACTTGCCTTCAGTGTGTGTATAGCAAGAGAGGGAGCCAGCCAAGCAGACTAGCTCCTCTCAGTCACCAGCCCRTGGGGCTCCAAGGCCTGGCATGTGGTGACAGCCAGTGCTGTCACTCCAGGCCTCACACATCTGAGTCAATGGGAGRCAGTGGGACAAGTACGGATACATCCAGGTACACTGACCAGACACAGCACAGGCCTCCACCTGGCTGACGATGCCTGTGCCATTCTCCTTGTCTGCTGGCCACTGGTAGATGTAGAGAGCTGTGTGCGTGGAGCCAGCATCAAACACCAGGCCGTACTGAAGGGAAGCAGAATCAGAGAATCATTATGGTTAGAAAAGACCTTCAAGATCAAGTCCAACCGTAAGCCCATCATCACCATGCCTGTTAAACCATGTCCCTAAATGCCTCATCAATACATTTCTTGAACACTGACAAGGATGGTCACTCCACCACTCCCTGAGATGCCTGTTTCAATTCTTCACCACCCTTTTCACGTACAAGTTATTCCTAATATGTAAGCTGAACTCCCCCAGTGCAATGCAAGTCCATTTTGTCGTATCCTATTTTTGRTAGTTATTTTGGAGAAGAGACTGACCCCCATCTCACTACAACCTCCTTTCAGGTAGTTGTAGAGAGCAATAAGGTCACCCCTCAGCTTCCTCTCCTCCAGACTAAATAACCCCCGCTTCCTCAGCCCCTGCTCATAAGGTCTGTGCTCCAGCCACTTTAGAGGTTTCATTATCCTTCTTTGCATATGCTTCAAAGCATGTCTTTCTATCTTTCTTGCAGTGATAGTCCCGTTCCTTCAAGTAGCTGAGTTCCTCCCAAGGACCCTACCTTGGTACTGGAAGGCAGAAATACATCCTTCACATTTACAACAGTCAGTATGAGGGCAATGATGCTGAAGACACAGGTGGCTGCCAGGAGGAATGCCACAGATCTGGCTTTCTGTTCCATCCCTCTTTCAACCTGCAAGAACAGTCCACCTGCTCAGCACCATTGTGTTTGACAGGTCACGTTCAAAATGCAAGTCTCATGAACAAATATAGGGCTTCTCAGGGTGGGATTTTTCTCATATCCTATCAAGAGCTTGAAGTTATTCTGTGTTGGTGCTATAGGAAGATCTTCACAGTCTAGGGACAGATACACCCTCTCTGTCTGCGAGTTCTCCCAACCTGGGGGATTTTCAGCTTGACATTTTCAGCTCTTCTCTACCTCAGCTCCTGTTTCCCTGCTCAGGCTMTTCTCTCCACACAGTCTGGATCCCTCTGCTCCGCTTAATCTAACTGCTGGGTGACAGATCACCATCACTCTACCCAGTGGCATCAACAGGGTAGGCATGGCAGAGGCTAACCTGAGTCACAGACTGGGAGAGGGACCATAGAGTGGCAGGTCCCCAGGGGAGCCATCACCTGTGGGATGCAGAACTGCAGCTCTCCAGTACCTGCACGCTGTTGTCATACCCTACACTCTCACAAACTTGTCCTATGAGACTAGGGACCAGCAGGAAGTATACGCTGCCCAACAGTCCTGTGACTTCCCCAAGAGACTTCTCTCTCCTTCAGGCTGGGGAATAGCATCACCCTGGCCGTGTGCCTCCTGCCTTGCCCAGCTCTGCTCGGCTCTTGGCAAATACACAGCAGGTAAGCAAACACACATTARCTGTGTCCCAGCTGTAGGTGATCTCCAAGCCCTTCCTGCATTCCAAAGGGCTGAAAGCTGAAATATGTTAGAGAAAGCTCCCAATATTTGGGGTGCACATGAGCCCACTAACCAAGATGGCTTTGTGCAGACAGCTACAGTATTTTACATGAAAGAAGGCAAGGGCAGCAGGGCTGAAGAGCCCTGAGGAAATGGAGTGCCGCATCTCCCCCTTGCCTGAGTGGGAGCTCAGTTTCTGGCAGAATCAGCCCTAACACATCAGCAAAAAATTGCAGATGAGAAGCTAATTCAGAGGATCTGGTTCTCTGCAACAGTTTCAACACACAGCAGACAACATATCTCCATGGACAGTACAGGAGTTCAACACACACAAACCTCTCCCATCTCTTCCTCCATCACCCTGCTTCTTCCAGACAGCATGCACCAGCAGGCAGTGAGGTTAACCTACATCTAGGTAACAACCCAGGGTTTGCAATCCAGACCCTAGATGAGTGACAGACACCTCCAGAGACCTGGACAAAAATATGTTTAACCCCCAAAATAATGTGTTTAACCCTATCAGTGCTTTGGGCCTTGGAGATGTCACTTGTTAAGCAGTTTGCCTGGGAGTACATAAAATAACAAGAATTCCCTTACCTCTTAGCCCATGGCTCTAGGAAGAAAGGAAAGATATTTCACAATGTCCTGTTTTGAGGTCAGCATCTCCACTGATGAAAAAGAGCTCCCAATGCCTTGTATAGCAGAGGATGTGTCATGAGGAATAGCAGTCATTCTCCTATGTCCCACATACTTCAAAGAGGGAACATAGGACTACAAGAAATCTTTACCAAACCTTTTCCTACAGCCAAGAGCCTTCTCTGTATGATAGCTGTGCCAAGGAAAAATGTATATAAGCAGGTTTTTAATTCCCATATCATCACATCTCTAGTCTGATTAGCCTTTGTACTAGCAGCTTTACAGGCAGGACTTTGCTTGCAGCAGTCCAGTGTGGACATAGCTTCTCTGGGTGCAGCATGCTTGCTGGCAAGATACTTGTCTGCATTAGCATTTGTGTGGACATAAATGTGTCTTTAGGAAGTAATTGCTTTGCTCAAGGTAATGTTACACTGAAGCAAGGCCCCTAGTCCAGTCTACATCCTAAATAAAAAAAAAGTCTGTCCATGGCACTATGCTATGGATCAGCATTATTATTTTTAATTTCAGGGAGTTAATTCTGTGCCGTCATGCATGCAGAAGCAGAAGCAGGTGGGAAACCAGCTCTACAAGCTTTTCGTAGGGACAAATTTTTATTTTGACTCTGCAGGAGGTAACACCTGAGGAAGCACAAAGCCCATGAGGCCCAAAAGAGGAGAGCAGGTCATGGGACGTGAGCCCAGGAAGATGAAAGCAAAGGAGGAGGAGCACAAAAAGTTGCTTGAATTACTCAGTGACGGCCTACTGCTCTTAGGAAACAAGTTTAGAGCACGAACAGAAAGGACAGGGTGGCAATGATGATGTTCTCAAAGGTTAAAAAAAAAAAAAGAAAGAAAGAGGTGTGTTCCCGCATGGCTTTGAAGGAAGCAATCCCAGAGGGTTCAACTTGACGGTATGGAAAGTTTGCAGCTGTGCATAACACTTTGTTTTTTCTTAAACTAGCTTATTAGGTGGACACAATAAAGTATTGTATAAATATCTATGGGATACCACTCGTCTCACAGTGTTTATCGCTAGCAGGGAGAGTGGTCTTAAAATTCAGSAGATAAGGCTTAGAGACACTGCTGGATTTAAACTTTGTGTTTCTTAGCAAAACATGAAACTGGATTTCCCCACCACGCAGATCTGAGATTTGGAAGTCAGAAGGGCTCTTAAGATCTGCAAGGAAAGGGACAAACTTGCACACTGAGCAGTCCCCTCCCATCTCCCTCTCTAGCACTCAAGCTCCTCAGTGTCACCATTCCCCTGTGYCCCAGCATGGTAGGGACATCGTGCTGGTGAACAATCAGTGTTTCAAGATGCCCTGCTGGAAGTCTCAGCCATCTCGCTCCAGCTTCTCCTGGCAAGGAGCCAGTGGAGCATGTTATACTCYGGTACCCGGCTCTGAGCTGGGTCTCAGCCCACCCATGATCTGTATCCTCCAGCAGAGACACGTTTCCAGTATGACAACATCCCTGGCACCCTCTGCTACTCACCTGTCCTGCTCCCCGTGTGGGCAAAGCTGCAGCTGGGACCGGGTGTTGTGTTGGTGTCAGTGCATACCTGGGAGTGCAGAGCGTTGCTCCTGGGACAAAGGCTGTCCCAGAGTCCTCAGGATATGGCCCTCCCCTTGGCTCAGGACCAGCAACCTGCCCAGAGAGGTGCCTGGGCCAGGAGGCAGCAGAAAAGCAGAGGTACAGCTCTTGTTTGGAGAGTTGGCACGGAAAGAGCCACCAGGTTTAACCACTTGCTGGTGGGCTAAGCAACCTATCCTGCCAGGCACTACCTGAGACCCCCAAGACAAGGAGTGGCTTTGGGTCTGTCCCCGTGCTCTGTCCTGCAGCACGGAAGGACGCAAGTACAGGTTCACAACAAGCACTAACCACCACCACTGCTGTCTCAGGGAACCTCAGACCCGACAGGCAGTTTGAGATGGGGATGACTGTGATGAAGTACCACCTGAGACGGGCTTGTGTCCTACTGATGTCCCTGCTCACAGCACTGCTGCGACCACCGAGCTCTGCCAGCACTGCAGGCAGAGCCAGAGTGGCCCAGGGCCAAAACAGGAATGCTGTGGCAGGCAGGTCCCCCTCTCCATGGCCTAGGGACCCGTTGCTGGAGCTGGTGCAGGTGCCTGTGGGCAGGGCTGAGCTCCTGCCCTGAGTACAGCTGCGGCAGTTGTTCTGGCAGAGCTGCGGTGGCTCCCTTCTGCCTGAGACACTGCAAAGTGCCCGCCCAGGACAGGACGACAAGGGGCACGGGACATCCAAGCAAGACTCTGCTTTCACTTTGAGCCCTTCCTGAGTCCTTCTGGCAGAGCTGGGCTCTAGCGGGGTCCCACAGACAGAGGGCAGCCACTGCTGCCTCCCTTTGCCCCATCTCCTGTCCCTGCCCCATAGCCAGGCCTGGGAGAGTTTTGCAGGGAGTGCCCTGGAGTCTGCTCCCTCCTGAGCAGCTCAGTGCGCCTGTAGACGACGGAGCGGGCCTCCCAGGAGCAGGTATGGTGGAGGTGGCTGCTCTTGCCTGCCACCCCTCCCTGGGGCTGGGCATGAGGCACGGAAACACAGCCTTTGACCTGCCCTTCCCCACGGGAGGGAGTTCCTGGTGCGAGCACCCAGGGCCACTTCCCTGCTTTCAGTCCTGGCTTTTGAGAGGGCCAGACCCTCACAGCTGAGTTTTAGGGCTCCCTGGTGGCTGGGMTTTCTTCCCCTCCTTGCAGAGGAGGGTTTGGAGGCTGTGCTGACTCACAGGAGGGCACAATAGTGTCTATATTCAGAGTGACCTGGTCTCCATCCTCTGGCCCTAGCACTCCAGGGTGGCACATCCAAGACATCGCTGCTTTGGGAATTGCAGCTCTGGGAATTGCAGGGAGCTCTGGGAATTGCAGGGAGAACAGGGAAAGAGCTGGAGACACTTGGGGCACACATTTGGGCTCATGCTGACTCACGTGATCTCTTCTCGTTACAGCTCAGCACAGCAGTGCCGAGCTACCTGCTAAAGGGGGATGTCCGGTATCTAACAGTCCTGCTGGCGCTGCTGGGAGTTATCACCCTCTGCCTGATGCTGGCTCCAGTGAAGGACATTTTCCTTCCTCCAAGGATTAATGTAGGTGCACTGTGGGGGCTGGAAGAGGTCTGGAACAACTGACGGCCTTTTCCCACCTCTCTCTTCCTTGCTCCAGCCCTGTCTTCTTCTCTGCTTATGAGCTTTCCTATAACTAGCTCAGCTTATGGGGGCTTACCCTAACCAAGGCAGTGCTGGGTAGATCAAATCCTCCTCCCCCCAAAACACCTCCTTGCTAAGAGGAGAAAAAGAACAGCACAAATGGCAGGATTCTTCTCCTGGTACCTTTTACCCCAGACATCTTCTCTCCCTTCTTAGAAGTCTCAAGGGTTTCTGTTGTGGGTCCTGTGCCTTTAGGCTGTTCTCTGATTATGGCTTTGGGTGACAGTTTCAAAATAAGTACTGTGAGATCTCCTAGTCCTATGAGGAAAGGCTGAGAGAGCTGGGCCTGTTCAGCCTGGAGAAGAGAAGGCTGAGGGGGGACCTGATCAGTGTCTATAAATACCTCAAGGGAGGCAGTGAGAAGGAGGGGCCGGCCTCTTTTCAGTGGTGGCCAGCGACAGRACTAGAGGAAACGGCCACCAGCTGAGGCACCAGAAGTTCCACAGGAACTTAAGGAAACACTTCTTGACAGTGAGGGTRACAGAGCCCTGGAACAGGCTGCCCAGAGAGGCTGTGGAGTCTCCTTCTCTGGAGACCTTTAAAATCTGCTTGGACGCAGCCCTGTGCCACGTGCTCTGGGTGACCCTGYGTGAGCAGGGGGGTTGGACTAGATGACCTCTGAGGTCCCTTCCAACCCTAAGCACTCTATGATTCTATGATCTCTAGAGGTTCCTTCAAATCTAAACAATTCTGTGGTTCTGTGATCTGGGAGGACCACTTAGTGGAGTCCGGTCCAGCTTTATGGACTGGCTTGCTCAGACCTCACACCTGTATCTCCATGTTGTGCTGTACCTTTAGACATCTTTATCCTTCCGAGGCACCACTAGTAAATATAGAGCTTTCCTCAAATCGGTTACCCATAGCCCTGAACAGTGTTTAAGAAGGGCTGGATTTTGCAAAGCAGCTACCCACGGCCAAGGTGCTTGTTTTGCCCCGTTGCCTCAGTTCCTCGCCATCATTACTACCCCTTGCCTGGGATGAACAAGCATTAACATCCTTTTGATTCAGGAGCAAAAGAACAAGAATTTTTCTCTTTGGTGCCTCTTAGAACATTTATTTCTATCATATTTATTTGTCTAATAGAACTGCTAAAGMCAGGGAAAACATCTTCAGAGACAGTAAAGGTCAACTCCTCACTGCCARAAGGTGAATGTGCTGCTGACAAAGAGCTAGATGAATGATCCACAGGACAGCTAGATGTGAGCAAAAMCAACAGCAAATGCAGGACAGCAATCACAGATGGGAAATCTCCCCAAACGTGTGCCCAGCTCCAGAGCAGATCTTTTAACCTCCTGGAATCTCAGCTTGGCATCCAGGGTGCACATATCTTGTGCTGGTGGCTCAGAGTCTGGTCTTCATGAAGACCTACAAGAACAGAAATCCCCTTATCCCATAAGAAAAAGAAGATGGCAAAGATAGAGCCCAGGCCATCCTTCTGATTGTGGATACTCCCCTTGACTTTTTATCTTCCAGGCCATGAGCTGCTGATGGCTTTGGAGATGCACACTAAGGAGAGCGAGCTTGGGTAGCCCCGAGCCTGGCATGCCTCCAGGCAGAAAGACTTAGCAGGGACCTTTCTGASCTGGGGTGCTGCACCAAGCAGCGTGTCAGTGAGTGCCTGCAGCTGCACGAACAGCCAGCACTTGAGGAACTCTCCCACAGCCAGGCTGCCTTTGCAGAGCCCCAGCTCCAGCGTGTGGGATGAAGGCCACACTTGGAACAGGCATCAGCATCTGTAATGGTGTTAAAAGAAGGGAAAMAGGCCCTGCTTGCGATTTCTACAGTGAACAGGCTGATCCGAGCAGCGCTCAAGGCGGGGAAGGCTCCTTGGAAGTTGCCCTGTGGTGCCAAGCTCATTTTGGGCACAGTTCAATGAGAGTCCAGCCTTCGCTTCCTGAGTGCTGTAGAGGGTAGAGCTGCTTGTTATAGGCCCAAGATCAAAGCATGGGCTCTCTGTTCTGCTGKCCAGTGTGCGAGTCCCCCTGCCCAAGTCAGCCGTCCAGCCTCGATGCCCTCCTACCATCTCTGAGAYGCAGCCCAGCTCCTGCATCTGGCAGTGCATGTGCACAACAAGAGCCACGCCAAGAGTGACACAATGAAGGTCACAGCTGCAGGGCGCACAGAGGGCTTTTGCCCCTGCACCAAGTGCAGTACCTCCCATGGTGGGTGTCTGCGAGCTTCAGCGCGTAGCCCAGGCTCCAGCCGATGTCCATGCTCCCCACCTGGAAAAGGAGAGAGGGGGATAGTGAGGGCAGCTCTAGCAGAGATGCCCCTAGCGGCAGTGGGGTCCCCGTGTGCCAGGCCTGGCACAGGCACAGCGCATGTCTGCAAGCAGGATGTCTCCATGAGCCTGGCCACGGGGCTGAGCTGCACAGCTCCGTGTTACCTGGGCATGGTGCTGTTGGACACCTGCCTCAGAGCATTGCCATTGCAGACTGAGTTTGCTGCTTACCTTCCTGTGGAAGATAATGTTGTTCCAGCTGGTCTCATTAAACTTGTAGGCATCAAGGAGGAGTGTGAGGATGTAGTTTGYGTTAGCGCAATAGCTGCGTAGTCGCTCAGGTTTTTCCTCTGGGTAGCTAGAAGACAGCTGGGGGCGGATGTGGGAAGGAAGGGAAGTTATTTGAGCWCCTAGCAATGAGCTGGCAGCAGGCAGTGCTGATGGAATATCCTGGTGACTGCTAACTGTGTGAAGAGGGATGGCTCTGTAAGGCCCTTCATCCCGAGAAAGACAATTGCTGGTGGACTGGGCAGGTGTTTTGGAGGTGTCAGGTCCACTCTACCTAGAAGGATATACTGCTATCCATTTCYACAGGAAATGGAGGTACTTTGGAGCTCCTCCTGCCTCCCTCCGTCTTGTCCCATGTCTGCCTCGCTGCACAAAGGTCTGGCCTGTGATCGTCCTACTCCATGTCTTGACTGTATCCATCTCCATCTGACTCCACTCCAGAGCCATGCCAGCAGCCATTCTACAGGACTCCATGCCCAGCTACAGCTCCCAGGACAGCGGAGCGCCTGGTGGCTTGATCAGCCCTGGCTGCTGCTTTCTGTCTGTGCATGCTCTCTTCYTACTCATGCACACAGAAAAGAATGAGGGACGGGCAGAGTTGGTGCAAATGACCATGTCTCCCTTATAGGGCTCAGGGGTGGCTCTCTGAGGCTTGACTCAGGAACTAGGAAGCTTTGCTCTGGGATATCTGTGTTCTTCCTCCCCTGCCCCAGAACCCCTTCCCTTGGGAAGTTTCCCTCGAGCCTCCCATGACCCATCATGGGAAACCTACATCTTGCCAGCTCCTTCTGCAGAAATTCCGGATGTTTTTGCTGACAGTGAGCAGAGACTGCCCATTAGTCAGGTTGAGGAATCTGAAGTTATAGTAAAATCCTGAGAAGGCCTGAAAGGCAGGAAGGAGAAAGAGTATTGAGCAAGAGTGGGGAAAATGCTGCAGAGCAGCTGTTCTGGTCTGCCTTGGGTCCGAAAGGGCTGGCCGCAAGGAGAGCTCTCACTCAGCACCGTGCTGCAAGCAGCCCTTCTTTTGCCTCTTGCGCACAGGTCTGCCAAGCCCTGGAAAGAGGCCTCTTAATGGGACACCAAGGGTGCCCCTGAGCAGCACAGTGGCTTCTAAGGTCATCGGGGGAAGGGAAAGGTCAGCATTTTCCTTACAAAGAACTGTCCGCTGACAGCGGGATCGTAGGCACCGTCGAAGATGCAGTCCTGACTCTGGCTGCATGTTGAGATATTCAACAGATTCCGCAAGAGAGCCCGGCACCGTTTCCCATTTCCTTTGCCCTCTAGGGTCACTCTTCTGTCAGCAAGAGGTGTCTGTAGGTTATTCTGCCTTGTACAGGTTGTGGTGTGTAAAGAAGACAACCAGATAGTTTCCTTGTAGTTTCTAGGGTAGCAAGGGTGTCCCACTTGTGTTCTGGAATGCGACTCCTGGCAATTGGAAAAAAAAAGTGGGGAAGGGAGGAGAAGGAAGCCATGGGGTTCCCTAGGTTTGTTTCTGTCTCCCCCCAGCTTCAAGCATGACCAGGTTACGCAAGGTCTTGCTCAGTTTACTTTGGAATATCTCCAAGGATGGAGACTCCACAGTCTTTTGAGGCTCTATTCTGGTATCTAACTACCATTCTTGTGAACATGTTTTCTCTGTGTGTGGCCAGAATCTCTCATTTTCCAGGCTGTGCCAGTTGTCTCCTGCCCTGCCACTTTGCACTTTTGGAAAGAGTCTCCTGTCTTTTCTCTAGGCTCCCCTGAGGCAGYTGTTCCCATTTGATCTTCTAATCTTTTCTGTTGTTTGGTAGGAGGACAGTGCTGTGTCTGCTTAGCAGCCGCCTTCTCTCTCACCTCAATTAATGTCTTTGTCAGGCGCTTCAGCACCTCGTTTTGTCCATAGCAGAGGTAGCTCTGGGTGTAAATATTGTAGTTATACCCATAAAGTGTGACCTTGGAAACTTCCTTCCGCTTCATAACTGAACTTTTTGGGATAAAGCTGATTTGAGTGGATTCCCCTCCAAGATCCAGAGCTCCAAAAGTGTTGGCCATTTCTGGAGGGTCCTGTGTGTCTTCTTTGGAGGGGTTCTGCCAAGACAAGATAGGGCAGGGAGAGGAGCATAAGACAGCCCCAAGAACTGGGTGCAAGCCAAATTCTCCTCCCATATAAGACAGTGGTGGGGTTTTTTTTTGACAGAGAGTAAGAGATAACTGGCTCCCAGTGCACARCTGGATGGGATCACAACCAAACAGCAGAAGGGCTGTCCTTGAGGGCAATGCCTGTGCTTCGCTTTTCCAGCCGSAGTCAGTGACCTTTCATTCTGTGTTAAATTAGTTTAAAAAGCTAAGAAATATCAAAAWTCAAACAAACAAAGAAACAAACAGATACCTATTGCAAAGAAGGGGTAGCTCTTTCAGCCTTCTCTCACCTTAGGGAAGGAATCTCTTAGGTAGTTAATGGCCATCCAGCTATAAGCTCCTTCCTCTTGGCCTGTGATAATTCGAGCCCCATGGAAATCCACAGGATACTCTTTCATGATCTTAGCAATTCCAACCATGATTTGATCTGCAGCAGAGCTGTTCTTTTCCCTAGGAAGGATCCGAGATTCRACATACATATCAGTGAAATCGTCACGATAAAGATAGGGCTAGGGGAAAGGCTAGAGAAAAGCAAGATGAGGTTGCACAACATCCCTTGGCCTTCTACCTCTAACCCACACCCTTGCTAGCACCCAGCCACATTTGCAGAAGGTCCATGCCCTTCCCATGGTGGGAAACACTGCCTTATGTTGCAGGAAGAATGAAGAGCAAAGCAAGAGCACTGAGCCTTTGCCACGTGGCAATAAGCTGAGCAGTGTCCTTTGGGGTGGTGGGCTTCCAAGAAGGCCAAGGTCTGCCTCTGGGCAGTCTCTGTGCCCCCAGGGTCAGAAGCTCAGGAGAGCTCCCGGCCCTGCCACAGGTCCCCACTGGGCTGCCTTCCCACCAGGGCTCCCTTGCTTGCTCAGGGCAGCTGGAGAGCTYGGAGCTGCCAGCCCTGGGCAGGATGCCGCATTAGCCAGGCTGCTGGGGGCTGCTTGCAGCTTGGCCACCTCCCCTTCTCCCTGGTRCCCAGCACAAGTACCTCAGGAGTCTCATGCCTGCTGTTGCTCCGAGAAAAGCTGATACCTCTCGCCCTTTGGCAATGGGAATGACGTCCAGAGCTTTGTCCAGACACCCTTTTAGGGATGCACCAGCTTTTGGAGGATTGTTGGCATAGCTTGATATGCCTTGCCCTGGAAAAGAGTCAAGTCATTCGGCCAAGAAACGCTCARTTTTGGCACACTAAGGAAAGGGAAACCTGGCCATCCCAAGTGCTGTCCAGACACACACACACACAGAGGACAGCATGAGGCCCACGACAGGGAGGATGCTGACCTGGGACATTGCAGGAAAAGGTCTGGTTGATCACGACTGTGTTCTTCTCTTTGTCCCATCTGTAGATGAATAGAGAAGTGTGGGACGAGCCTGCATCAATCACTATGCCAACCTGGAAACACAAATGAAGACCTTGTGTCTGGCTGGAAGAGCAGCAGGGATGGCGGGGCTGGAGCTCAGCCCTGCCATGAGACAGGTCACTTGGTTCAAGATGAGATGCCCCCAAGAGGGTGCCCCAAAGAGCAGTRCTCTTAAATGCATAGATCCTCCCCAAGCTATGGTAGTCTACAGCATGGCTGAACAGAGCACAGCAGAGCAGTGACAGGACAGAGCCCTTCAAAGTCTGGCCYTCAGTCTGAGATGAAGGACAAAGAGTCAGCCAGAGGTCTCAAGCAGGCTAGCACACGCTGGTCCCCTCTCCAACAAGACTCTTTCAGTGCCTCTACCTTCTTTCTTCTGCCTGGATTTTGGCATGGAGAAAACCCACACCTATCACCTGCAAGGCACATCCTACTGAGCCCCACTCACTCCAAGGCCATAACATGAGCTCTTCTCTCAGAGCATCCCTGCCACGTGCCTGGTGTCGGCAGGGGTGCTCACCTTGCCCGTGGGTGTTCCTCTGACCTTCAGCAAGATGAACTCCATGGCAATGAGTGACTCCATGGCCAGTACTCCCACTACAGCACAGATCAGGTGGCTCTTTTCAATGGCCATCCTGATAAAGCAGCCTGCAAATGTCAACACAAAAAGAAAGAAATTATGTGCATGTGACATGCTGGGAAGAGTGTGGATGAGTTAAAGCTGCAAGGAGGCCGTTCCCCAAAGCTGCCTCCAGGTTGGCCCTCTCTTTAAGGAAGCTGCATATATCTCATATGTGCTGCTGGATATTAAGCTCCTTCTTTGAGAAAAGCTAGGTTAGGATAATAGAGGGGCACAGCACAAAAGCAGAGGCTGCTCACCCAGGAGCCAGAGCCAGCCCTGCTAAGAGCACAGAAGCCCTTGAGCTCCGGTCACTGGCAGCTTGAAGGCTACATCAAGGAAGAGCAATAAAACCCCTGGATGCAACAGGGCCCCTTCTGGGAAAGGACAGCCAAACTCCATGCTGGACACTGTGCAGGAGGGAGCTTTGTCTCTCTTACAGGAGGTCCATCAGATCCTCTCACCTGCTCACGCTCTCAGGCCCGTGCACAGCCCAGCACGCAGATGAAGGCAGCCAGGGATGAAGCCAGGATCGCTCACGGGCAATAGCGAAGACGTGGAAAACCAGCTCACTGGTCCTCTTAGTCCTCTCACTCCCTCGCGAATTCCTGACTGGCAACAGAAACTCGGCAACAGCCTTTTTGACTTAGGCAACATTCTAGAATTTTGTACTTCTCTTGGTTACCTCACCTGGGCGTGTGTGAATTCATATGTTGTCCTGCTGACACGGTATCCTAGGCCAGTTCGTGTCTCTCCCTCAGCTGGAAGTTGTCTCTTCCTCTTATTCTGCAGCAATTAGTACACATCTTTCCTTTGAATTCTTGCTTCCTGTGTTGTTTTTTGGTTTTATTTTTTTTCTGGTGCTTCCACACACAGTCAGACAATTCTGTCTTTTTTCACTCTTGCCACTCTTAATATCTCCATTACAAATCTGTCACCTTTTAAAGTGCGCCATTGGCTGTATCCAGTGCCCTGAAATCACYCGCAGAGCAGCCGGTGTCTTGGGAGCAAGTTAATTCCAATGAGAAGCAGGATGCTATTGGAAAAGGAGGGATGTCCATGCAAGGAGGGTGCCAGGGCCCTTGAGCAGGGCATCCAGTGTTTTCAGTCCCTCATTAGCACTAATGTCTTCCTCCCTTCAYTTGTGAGTCCTGGGAAAGGGCAGAGCCTTGACTTCTGTCTCTCCCTGTTGCCCCCAGAACTGCTGTGGTAAGTATCGTGCAGACAGGGTAGGACAAATCCACCTTCCTCTTCATGCATGCCCTGTCRGAAGGAAGTGCTTATGGCGGATGTTGTGCAGTTATGTGAGATGCTCATGCTCCCTGTCTCATCCTGCACCATGGCAAGAGTTCAGGACAGCCTTGAGACCCAAATGAGATTAGGTCTTTTCCTCCCTTAGACATTCAGCCAACAAAGGCAAGGAGTTTTCTGATGGAAGCAGCATTTTCTGAAACCTGCTTAGAGCTGAGGAGTTCATCCATTCACCAAACACAACACAGGCTAAAGCCGCTGTGGCATCAAGCAGACTGTACAGTCCCCAAACTCTGCTGATGTCAAGGTGATCAAGGAGATGGAGCCCCTAAAATTATTTATTCCTGACTATCTCCCTTAGGAGAGCTAATGTCTCTGTGGTAGCTCAGGGTACGCTGGATCTTGGCCCTCTTTGTGCATGAAGCACAGTCAAGCTGGTCCAGGGCCAAGCTCTGCTCTGCAGTTATAGACACAATGGCACCAGTTGCTCTGCTTCCATTCTATAGAATCATAGAATAACTTGTTGGAAAAGACCTTCAAGATCATCAAGTCCAACCATAAGCCCATCATCACTATGCCTGTTAAAYTATGTCCCTAAATGCCTCATCAATACATTTCTTCAGCACTCCCAGGGATGGTAACTACACTGCTTCCCTGAGCAGCCTATTCCAATTCTTCACCACCCTTTCCATATATAAGTTATTCTTAATATATAAAGTGAACCTGCTCTGGTGCAACTTCAGGCCATTTCCTCTTGTCCTATTTTTGGTAGTTACTTTGAAGAAGAGACCAACCCTTGCCTCATTACAACCTCCTGTCAAATAGTTGTAGAGAGCAATAAGGTCTCCCCTGAGTCTCCTCCACACTAAAWAACCCCAGCTCTCTCAGCCACTGCTTATAAGGTCTGTGCTCCAGCCCCTTCACCAGTTTCGTTGCCCTTCTTTGGACATGCTCTAGTGGCTCAATGTCCTTGTAGTGAGGGGCCCAAAACAGAGCACAGTGTTCAAGGGGCARCCTCACCAGCACAGAGTATAGGGGGGAAATTGCYTCCCTGGTGTTGCTGGCTACACTGTTCCTGATACAAGCCAGGATATCTTTGGCCTTCTTGGCCACCTGGGCACATTGCTGGCTCATGTTCAGCTGGCTGTTGACCAGCAAGCTCAGATTCTTTTCTGCTGTACAGCTCTCCAGCCACTCTGCCCAAAACCTCTAGCGCTGCAGGATGTTGTTGTGACTGAAGTACAGGACTCAGCACTTGCCCTTGTTCAACCTCGTATGGTTGGCCTCTGCCCATGGATGCAGCCTGGTCAGATCCTCTGTACAGCCTTCCTACCCTCAAGTAGATCTACTCCTCCTCCCAGTTTGGTGTCATTTGCAAATGATGCTTTACTGTCATTTAGCTCCAGTTGTGAGGGAGCCCAGGACTTCAGATCCTGTTTCTATGTGCGAGTTAATTTGGTGCCCAGCAGCACTTTTGTGCCTTGACGCTGGATCTGAGGACAGTGATAGTTGCAAGAAGCCTCCCAGCAGTCGTGAGCTTCCCTACCAAGCTTTAGCGCAGTCTGTACCCCATCCCTGTGTGTGCTTGCTCTGACCCATCATAAAGTTCCTCTGTCTCTCCACTGGGCACAGAGAGGACAGGACGTATCTTCTCTGGAAAGTCTAATGGATGGGAGGGGACAACGTTGCCCTCATTTTTTTCTGATGAGTATAAGGAATAGGCACATTGTCTAAAGAAGTGATATTAAAGCTATGTAGRAGATAAGAACTACTAAAGATAAGAAGATAAGCTACTAAATTGAGTATGTTAATAAGAGAAGATGACATGCCAGAACAGGTCACTATTTTCAAACTACAATTTGGGTTTACACACTAAAATTACTATGAAAAACACAATCACAACTATAATAGAAGAACTATGGCTAGTGTGCATTCAAGATGTACATAATCTTTCCAATTCCCCCACACAGAGGAGTTCCCCATATTCAGTGTACACATACTAAAGAGACTTCAGTCCAGCAGCTCAGACGTGGCACTTTCTTTTGCCATCTTGAGGATCACTCTAACAGAAAACAAAAGCTGCCTTGGTGGAGTGAGGCCAAACAGGCTACCCCATTTGGAATGAAAGGAAGGTATTTATTGTGTATTATTTTTACATTACTATTATCAGCAGCTTTCCAGGTGTATAGGAAGTCTAGCAAAATTGTTTCCTATTTTTGATTTCACATCTMCCTCCTTCTTCTGGTATCTCTTTCCAATTTTCCTTCTGCCATATCTGACATCCATTGACCTGCCAGTTACTGCTTTTCCAATCAGTTGCTCCCTTAAATGTGGCATAACAATGAGTATAAACTACCTCCAGTGCTGCTGCTTTATATTTCCATCCCATGCTTGTTGTTCAGGCACAAGCATTAGTAAAATCTGGAGCTACCTTAATACTGAAGATTTATAAGGGAGACATAATGTCATAATTTCTGAACTTACTGACTACTGTAATTTGGAGTTCTTAGTTTTTAGGCCACTAAAAAACATGTATCATGTTTTGGGCCTGAATCACAATCTGCAGTGCTCTTTTTTTTTTTTTTTTTATCTCCTCAGTCTTCAGCTGGCACAAACGGATTGTTTGCTTTGCCAGAGAGGTTGGGGGGAGAGGGAGGGACAGGACACAGAGGGGAGTTTTTGTCCAGCCTGCTGGAAGCGGGAGACTTAGTATTTCAACCGATTTCTTGATACAGCCAGTGGCCTGCCCATGTAACGCAGAGAGGGGCACTCCTAAAGTTAACATTTGTTGCTATAAATTATTGCACAGAGGGCTGTAAATTTGATTTACAGATTCCTTTCCCTAATCTGGTGGCGGAAGTTCAAGGTCTGACCACTYTCTTGTTCATGACTCACCACATCACGGAACATATCCGCCTAAGTAGGGACCTGTGCAGGGGGTGCGTGGGATGCCTGCATTAGCATTGTTTTATTTGCTGTTCAATAATCATGTACAGTTTTTTTATTCTCTAATTCCTGCTACAGCATTGAATTTCTGAGTTTTTACATTGATAATTTATTTTCAGTTTCTCAGTATTCTCAGGTTTTCAGGCTGTACTGTCATACAGGAAATTCTCTATGACAGTGTGGGGTTTCTAGCTAGTTCTGATGCACAAATGCACAGTAATCACTCACCCTGAAAGATGAGAGAGGATTCTCAGTCTTGAGGAGTCTCCTCAGGCAGAATCCCAAATCGAGGGGAGGAATGAGGTTTTGGCTGTTGACTGATCCAGAATTTATGATGGAATCTTACCTCCTCCTTCTTCCCTCCTTAGTTCATCTTTTATATTTTTTTTTTTACATTTATGTGGAGCCTGAGTGGCTGTAATCATACTTTTGTTATTCATTCGTGAAAAAGCCTCTTGCTTTCATTTAAAGGTATAGTCAATTGAAAATCTAGAGCACATGCTCAGTGAGGAGTCGTTGTATCTTGGAGGTGGGTTACTTACAGAGTGGAGGTGTGTGTTGGCATTATAATGAGATTATAATTCAAAAAAAGTTCTGAAATCTGAAATCAGTGGTTTGTCACTGTTGCTGGCTCTGCACTATACAACTTATATTTCCCATTGGGCAACTACTGTGCTRCTTAGCAGCTGAACAGCACAGGGAGTACAACAGAGTTTGGCTGCGATGTCTTTACTCCCCTTCACCCTCCATTATTCCTCCTCACAGCTTCTAGGAGGGCATATTGTATTGCACAGGGAACTATGGAGGAGCAGAGTTCATGCAATCTAAACCATCCTGGAAGTGGCAAATGTGTATTACTCCAACCAAGCTTCTAGGACCTAGTTTATGTTAGACCCTAGTTTTTCTCTATGTTCCCCCTTTTCAAAGGAATTCTTCTTTATGGTCTACACACCAGTGTCTGTTTTACCCATTTGCCCCACACTGGTGCAGGCATAGGAGGACTGCAAGAACCTGATATGACTGGAGGCCCRTGTGCGGGAGCTGGAAAATGAGCTTGAGGCTGAGCAGAAGCGCAATGCTGAGAGCATCAAAGGASATTGAGGACCTGATGGTGGACCTCGAGCACTCCAGTGCAGCAGCTGCTGCCCTGGACAAGAAGCAGAGGAACTTTGACAAGGTGAGATAGGAGATCCTATGCGGTGTCATGGTCAACTGACC